CCCCCCTCCCCGCCTATTCTCTACCCCTCCACACCTGCTCGTGTTGTTCCCTCTTTTTACCTCACTTCCTTCTATCCTTCAACTTATTCTTCTGTCAACTCGCTTTCTAAACACTCTAACCTTCCCCCCCACTATCCTACTTTCCGTTTCCTCCCGCTTCCCACAATGTCATCCGCTTTGTTGGACGAAGCTGCGCGGATCGCCCGCCAGTTTGACTTCCCCGCCGAGGGTGTCCAACGCGGGGTGAAAGAGTACATCCGGGAGATGGATGAAGGACTGAGCAAAGAGGGCACAACTCTGAGCCAAATCCCGACGTTCGTTACCTCCGTACCAAATGGCACAGAGAAGGTATATTGTTGAATCTGTCTATTACATCACAATTGCATGTCTGACTTTGTTGCGACAGGGACTGTACCTAGCCGTAGATCTTGGCGGTACCAACTTTCGCGTGTGTTCAGTAGATCTACACGGCGACAACACCTTTTCTCTTACACAGTCTAAAATCATGATCCCTCGTGAATTGATGGCTTCCGGTACCTCCAAGGATCTCTTCACCTTCTTGGCTCGCCAGATCGAAGCTTTCCTGCGTATCCACCACAACGAACACTTCGAAGCTCACCTCCAACGTCGACGTGAAGGAAAGGGCGAAGAGGAATTGTTTGATTTGGGCTTCACTTTCAGTTTCCCCGTGCGCCAGGTCGGCATTAACAAGGGAACCCTCATTCGCTGGACGAAGGGCTTCAACATTCCCGACGCCGTCGGCCATGATGTCTGCGCGTTATTGCAAAGTGCGCTTGATGCTCTGGAGCTCCCCGTGCGCGTGGCCGCTCTTGTCAATGACACAGTCGGAACCTTGATGGCCCGTTCATACACCTCCCCTGGTGAAACGGGGACCTTCCTCGGTGCCATCTTCGGCACGGGTACCAACGGTGCCTACGTCGAGAAGCTCGACAAGATCTCCAAGATGGCTACTATCGAGCATTCCGACTACGATAAGACAACGGGTGAAATGATTATCAATGCTGAATGGGGTAGCTTTGATAACCACTTGAGTGTCTTGCCCAACACCGTCTACGACCAGCAGCTGGATGAGGAGAGTAACAACCCAGGCATCCAGATGTTCGAAAAGCGAGTTTCTGGAATGTTTCTCGGTGAGATTCTGCGCCGTGTCCTGGTCGATCTTTACCGCAATGAAACCCTGGGTCTGTTCAAGCCCAGCGCCTCGTCGGATGTTGTTGTTCCAGAAAACTCTACGCTCTTCCGTCAGTGGGGCCTTGATACCAGCCTCCTGAGCTTGGTTGAAGCTGACAGCAGCGAGAGCATGGAGCCTACCAAGACAGCACTGAAGGACCACTTGAAGATCGAACGAGCCAGCACCACAGACTGCAAGGCGGTTAAGACAATCGTGCATGCCATTGGCAAGCGCGCTGCACGTCTGAGCGCCGTACCTCTTGCTGCCATCCTCATCGCCACCAAGAAACTCGAGACTGACGATCTGGTGGACGTTGGTGTCGACGGTAGCTTGGTCGAGTTCTACCCTAACTTTGAGGGATACATGCGTGACGCCTTGCGTGAGGTGCCCGAGGTAGGCCCTGCCGGCGATAAGAAGGTGCGCATTGGCATCTCGAAGGATGGTAGTGGTGTTGGTGCGGCGTTGATTGCCCTGGTGGCTAGCAAGGAAGAAGCCAGGATGAAGGCCCAGTAGTGGTCGTATGACTAACACTTTGCGATGATCTCAACTTTATTCCCCCCCCTTTTTTTATGGTTCATTATGAATGGGTGACCTCGGACTGCCGGTGAAGACTACTTTATCTTCACCTTCCCTAGCCGCTTTTCGCGCGGTGAAGACCATGTGCTCGAATTTGCAGGGACGGCTTACTGTGAAAGGACCTGGAGTTAGTGAGAGTGGCTGGGAAGAAGGGTGTAACAATATTCATTTTTAAGGCGTTAATTAGCATTTTTCATGGAACACGGAAGATATGTTGCAATAAAAAAAATTCCTACTCATGAAGCTCTTTTCAACAGCGTCCTGATTAGTATAATAGCAGTATTTATGGATCCGAACCTTGGCCAAACCCCGGAGTGTTACTTTGTTTGCCGATCAACCCAAACCATCCATTCTGTGCCAATAGTCTAATGATCCATCTAAACCTCCGGGCTCCATACAGTACCCGCTCGCCACGGTACCTTAACATTAGAGTTTCATACGTGAGCACATAAGGTTGATAGATCCGCTCATAGATGGGCTCCCGACACTTGCCAGGAATCCTTTTCCATCACTGGCATTTTATTGCTCAAGCAAGGCCAACCTGCAGAACCCAGATGCAGAAAGCCCTAAGCGAGAAGTACCATACTAGGAGAGTCCAGGTATTCACCGTCCACTTTACAATGGCCAGCGGGTTATTCATCTTACTATTTAAATGCTCGCCAACAGGGTCAAGGCTGGTCCGTCTGTAGTCTAGACCGTGCCACTTTCTTTGTTGTTTTCTTAGGGCTTCGTAGTCCATTATTCTTCATGACGGGCGACGGATTACCAAGGTTCCGTGGAAAGAGACACCTCAAGACTATTTTGGGATAAACTATGGACAGCTGAGCGGACTTCCTTCGGTCTTCGGGAGGAAAAGATCCCGCTCACGCTGACATGTTCCTTTCATGTAGTACAAAGCGAACCGAGATGGAAATCCAGTCTTTTTCCGAAGTGACGCTGCTGTGGAGGTGTTTTATCACTTCACCGATTGGGTACAGGGCAAAACCTCGTCACCCTTTGCATCGTCACCGTGTCATCAATGAATCAGTGAAAAAGAAGACCCTCCTTGCCTCCTACTACTTTTCTATACCTCCCCTTCGTTAGATTAACGACCTCAACTGTTCCTTCCTTTTACGTCACTTCCTTTTCTGTCTTTCATACCTCTTATTCCCATCTCATCTCTATCGAGATCCTCCAAGTCAATAGATACAATGCAGGAAAATAAACTACAAGACACTCGTGGCTCACCGCCACATACCAGTTTTGTATCCGACAACATGTCAATGGAGGGAAGACCATCCATAGAAAAAGGGAGTACACTGGCAGGCTCACAGGGAGAGCCACCTGCGTTGGCCTCAGAAGCGAAGAACGAAAACACTATATCTGTGGCGAACACTAGTCCAAGCGATGAAGCACAGCAAGAAGAGGAGGAAGAGTATCCAAGCTCTTGGAGGCTTGGCCTGATTACCATCGCATTAGCCCTGGCCATCTTCTGTCTAGCATTGGTAAGACCATTAATTCACTACTTGCCGGCAATAAATGTCATGCATGACCTTCGGATGACCATTCTTACTAATGACCTTGGCTTCCTTAGGACAACACCATCATTTCCACGGCAATCCCGAAGATCACAGATCAGTTCAAGTCCCTTGAAGATGTGGGCTGGTATGGCAGCGCATACCTACTGACAACGTGTGCATTGTGCCTGACGTTCGGCAAGCTATATACATTCTACTCCACAAAATGGGTTTACTTGATTGCTCTCTTTGTTTTCGAACTGGGATCTCTGATCTGCGGGATCGCGCCGAATTCGTTAACCCTGATCATTGGCCGAGCCATAGCCGGCCTGGGGGCAGCTGGACTATTTTCGGGGGCACTCATCATCATTGCTCAGACGGTGCCACTGAGTCGACGACCAATCTTCGCCGCGATGATGGGATCAATGTATGGAATTGCGAGTGTGGCAGGTCCCTTGATGGGTGGTGCGTTTACGGACCATCTCAGTTGGAGATGGTGTTTTTATATCAACTTACCTTTTGGCGGAGTGACTGCTTTCTTTATCCTTTTCTTATTCAAGGCGCCCAAGTCTGTCAAGGACAAGTCCGGCTTCAAAAACCAAATGGCACAACTAGACTTCCCTGGAACTGTCCTCTTCATGCCATCAATTATCTGTGTATTGCTCGCGCTACAATGGGGAGGCACTATGTATGCCTGGAACAATGCTCGGATCGTCGCTCTTTTCGTTGTTTTCGGGATCCTTCTCATTGCCTTCTGCTGTGTACAGTGGTGGCAGCAAGACAAGGCTACGGTACCTCCGCGGCTGGTCAAGAATCGGAATGTATGGGGCGCTGCAGCTTACAGCTTCTGCGTCGGTGGAGCATTTTTCATATTTGTCTACTATGTAAGCTTGTACCTCCTAAGATCACAGAGACATTGCTAATTTGCGCATTTAATAGCTTCCCATTTGGTTCCAAGCGATAAAGGGTGTCACAGCAACCAGGTCGGGCATAATGAACCTTCCGTTGCTCCTTCCTATGATTGTTGCCTCCATTGCTGCTGGTGCTTGTGTCACTATGGTTGGATACTATACACCGTTCATGATCGCCACGCCGATTCTCATTTCAATTGGCGGTGGGCTTCTGAGCACGTTGAAAGTCGATTCAGGTGACGCTGCATGGATTGGGTATCAGGTTCTATACGGAATTGGCGTGGGCTTGGGTATGCAGCAACCCATGATTGTTGTCCAAGCCGCCCTCCCAATTGCCGATGTCCCCACTGCGACGGCTTTCGTCATGTTCTCCCAGACACTGGGAGGCGCGCTTTTTGTCTCTGTCGCACAGAATGTTTTTCAAAACCAACTGCGCAAGAACATTCTTACCAAAGCCCCCGATGTCGATGTTGCCACGGTGGTTGGCGCCGGGGCAACGATGCTACGGCAGGCTGTGTCGAAGGACATATTACCTACAGTTCTCGAGGCCTACAACGACGCTATCACCCAGACATTCTATGCTGCAGTGGCTATAGGGGCGATAGGCCTCTTTGCGGCACTTCCTATACAGTGGCTGTCCGTAAAAGGCAAGAAAATTGAGGCGATGGCTGCTTAGAACGTACTGTTTCTAGGCTTTGCTCAAAGGATGCGGTTACGCTTCGCTTCATCCTAAGCATAATACAGTTTACAAGTTTTGTTTAATATGGCTTACTGCCTCTTTATCATCATGGAATTTGGGAAGGTTCCACGTCTGGTATTCAGTGAAGTGGACTTTTCTTGCTCTGTTAGGCTATGTATGTGCGGATTCTTCCTTGCATGGAAATAATTAATAGAATCTATAACTTACCCTAGTGCTAACGATGCGAAATCTAAAACCAGTACCGGACGTTTCAAACAACCGCATAAAGACTCAAATAAATCCCCCAGATAACTCCACAGGCGCTCCCAAATACCACTCGTCGGTCCACAGGAACAACAGTATACATAAGCGCCGACACGATAGGCCGAAACTTCAGACGAGCTATCATGATGGGGCCAAAATCCTACTCTTGTCAGCACCGCAGCGATATACTCCCAGAGGAGGTAAGAGAGAATACAAAAAAAAAAGTAAATAAATAAATAAATAAAAGAAAGAAAGAAAAAAAGATACCTTACCTCACAAACCAACTCCCAAACCCTCCCCCAATGCGACCCCTTCAACAGGTTGATCAACACAATAAATAAGAGAATGTTACACACCCCAGCAATAGTTTGATCCAAGAGGAACTTCACAGCAAAGTTCCACATCCCAGATCTCTGCTGTTTCGGCTTGAACGACTTCTCCTTCGTTGGCAGGAGATCATCGGGATCAGGCACATTGTTGCTGTTATTTCTCTTCCAGCTGGGAAAGCCCGGAAACCGAGCTTCGATGTATCTCTGCCAGGAGAAATTGGGCGGCACGATAATGGCGCCGTAGGTGATAAACTGGATGAGTGCGATGGTGTTCAACGCCAAGGGTTTCTTTTTTTGGGCGATTTCTGTTAGTAAGTGTGGAACCCTTTCAAGTTATTGTATACATATGGGGTCAAGGGGGGGGGTTTAGGTAGTAAGTAAGTAGTAGGGGAGGAGGAGGAGGAGGTAGTTGGTTGGTTGGTTGGTTTTGTATAGGTGTGCTCCAAGAGAACCAGAACACCACCACCTCTACACGGATCATGGGAAATAAGAAAAATAATAGTGAAAAGTGAAATTCTACGTACGTTTTCTTTGTACTGGTCTATTAATTGGGCCAGGACATTGGAGATGGCGTTGAGGATCGTGGATTGGATCAGGGTCACTGTCAAGGGGGATGGGGGCATTGTATTTGTATGTATTGTTTTTTGGATGATGATGATGATGTTCAGGAGGTGATGAGCATCATGGATTTCTGGGGGTTTGTGTTGGTTTTGGAAAAAAGGTGTAGGTGAGATATGTATATGGTATTATTGAGTGATAATTGATATTGTTGTTTTTTTTTTTCTTGTTTTCCTGCTATGTGTCTTTTGTTTCAAGGGTTTCCTTCATTTACTTAAGTTGTTTGATTTATTTTACCCTTTTGGATTTGTTGCACGTGTTGGGCACGTGTCCTGTTCGCTGGAGTTGGGAAATGAGTGAGACTTGTTTGTTCCGGTGTGCTTGGCGTCTGGGAGGGATATTCTTCCCTCTCTCTTTGGTTTAATTAGAATTAGGACTGTTTGTTTTACTTGGGTCTTTGTTAATAAGGGGGGGGGGGGGGGTTTGGATTTGGAGAGTTTGGGTTATTAATTTGAATGAATTTGCAATGCGCTATACGTAAATCGAACTTCGTTAAAAAGGCCACATACATCGCCTAGACGGTTATATCCCTCCGGCGGACTATCACATTCGGCCCCTGCTTGGCGCTGGTGAAATGATCCACAAGAGCCAGATGGCCTTTCTCATCCTCTCCCTGTCGATCGGCTAACTCCATGTCAAACAGGAACATTAACCGCGCGATGGTCAGTCGCATTTCCATGAAAGCCATGCCCTTGCCAATACATCCGCGGGGCCCAATACTGAACGGGCAGAAGGCTCTCCGCGCAGTCTCAACAGCATCCTTGGTGCTCTCCCACTTATCATCGGCGGTTACACATGTTGCCCCCTCAATCCATCTCTCGGGCAAATACGCCTCAGGTTCGCGGTAGTACTGGGGCTGGCGGTGGATGGAGTAAGTCGGAGTCCCACAGTCCGTGCCGGCGGGTAAAAAGGCCCCGTCCACGACGGCGCCGCCCTCCATCACCTCCCGCGGAATGGCCCCCGGAACGGCAGGTGCCAAGCGCAGCGCTTCATCAATGCAGGCTTTCAGGTAAACAAGCTCATTCAATTTGCCGCCGGTGACGATCTCCTCGACCGAGGTGAAGGCCTCACGGACTTCCTTCGTCAGGAGCTTCATGGCGCGCGGGTTGCGGACGAGATAGAAGATGGTTGCTGCGAGCGTGGTAGAGGTGGTGTCGCTGCCTGCGATCATGAGGACGTTGGCTTCGCCCCAGAGCTCGGGCGTCGTGAGACCCTTGCCCGTCTCAGGGTCCTTGGCGTTGAGCAGGTAGTAGAAGAAGTCTTTCTTGGAGTCGTGGCCTGCCTGCGTGCGCTCCTGGGCTCGCTTGTTGGCTTCTACGCGCGAGTTCATGATGAAGTTCCATCGGTCGTTGGTTAGTCGGTGAATGACGATTTGGTCTAAGTGCCAGGTGTCAAGGGGCATCCATAGACCGCACTGATTGATATTTGTCAGAAAAGGGGGCTATTCTCAGAGAAATCTGAAATCGTTGTAACTCACCACATAGTGACGGTTGGCCGCGCGATCAACAAGCTGAATCATCTTTCTGCGGCCGCTGGAAACCAACATATCAAAGCTCTTCCCGAAGCAGAGTTCACCCATGACATCGTACGTGAGGTAACTGAACCAATCGCCCATGTTCTGGACGGTGGTCTTCTGTGCCTCAGCCTTGTTACCATCCGCTTGCTGCCCTGCCAGAGCCGTGCAAAGCTGTCGAACATGCAGCAACATGACATCTTCCATGCTCTTGAGAGCCTGATCGGAGAAAGCCTGGCTCAGCACCCGTCTCTTCCGACCATGGACCGTCTTATCAATCGCATTGTGCGTGTTATACACGCCTTTAATGGCAGTGAACCCATTGTAGAAATTGGCCTTCTTCAGCTTTTTCCCATGGCCATAGATATCATGCAGACCCTGCGCGGAGTTGATGGAGACGAAATTCGGCGCAACACGGACATGCGATCCATACTGCTGATGCAGATTATGAAGCCACAAATGCCGGTCCCCCTTCAGGCCATGATACAACTGCACCCAGGGGGTTAACGATGCAAGGAACGGACCGTTAAATTTCCGAAGAGGATGCAAAAAGCGGTTGTAAATGACATATGCAAAAGACTATGCGGGCGCAACAGTAAGCAACTCCGATGACGTACATATGCACAACAAGAGAGGAAGAATGAGGTAGGATATGGAACGTACCAAAACACCCAGCAAAGCAGACACCCCCACCACAACCCCCTCAATCGATAACGTCTTCCAAACCTCCTGGACGAGCATATTGCAACCCTACTACCCCCCCGTAGGTACTATGGAAACCAACGTAGACCTTCCGTATCCGGAACGGTAGCCGATACAAGCCGAGTCCAACCGAACACCGGTTCCCCCCGCAAATGTTCCTGGCAAGGAAGGAAGTAATATGGAGCTTGGTAATAGGACCAGGTTCACTGGTAGAGCAAATAAATTTGTCTCTTTGATTTGGGGCTTTGGTAGGATACCATTTCCATTCTCCTCTGCCCCCGTATATATACCTCTCTCTGGGCTCGGTTAGAAACGGACCTACTTCTGTTTGGGTGCAAGGGATGGATGAGGGTGTCATACGTATGTCAGCTTTTGGTAAGAAAAGTGGCGGTTGCATTCTGGTTTCGGTTTTTCTTTACCGTGGTGTTCGTTGGGTTTATTTTTAGTTGCGGGAGAAACGTGGGTGGAAGTTTACTGTGGATTGATAAGAGTTGGTTGCTGGTAGATAGTTGTTTTTGTTTTCTACGCGTTGTTGGTTTGATATACTGGTATTTAGTTGAGTATGAGTGTAGTAGCTTGTAGGTATGCACATGTGATTTTCTATTATTGTTTGGGCTTATCTGGATGTACCTAGGATGCTATAGCTGGTATCCAATTGATAGCCCTGGTATTGGACCTGAAACCGGAGCAATGATCTTCTCGAGCACCGCTTCTATCCGAGTGCCTTTTGGTCCCACATAGATCACTGACTGCTTGTCTTCACCGATAGATGGGTAAATAGTGGGTACTGGGTCAGCTGTGAACCCGAAGTCCCCATTCACGGGGGGGAGTAAACTGTGAGGTCTCGCGGCTATTTCGTGGTGTGTATTTCTGACAATCCAGATGGTCCCCGACAGGGAATGCGTTGATAGAGTCGATAGCTGTAAGCTGGTCGTGTTTGTGTAACGTACGAGCATCTCTTGAGCAACCATCAAAACACACGTCCCAATCTAAGAGTGTCCATGTAAGCCGCCGTCGAGGATCCATTGCTCATTGTCGTCGTTATCATCCTGGACTCGTCGCCATGTCTGTTTCCGTTCATTCTGCGGTCTCGCTTCAACCGGCTTACCGTCTGGTCCCTTCCAGACAGGTCGCATCAATCCACCAGCCGCAAGAAGAGGATTCCGACTGAAGGCTTCGCCGCGACGTGACTTCGTAGATTCATCTGCCGGTTCACTAGTCTCAGGCTCGGGCTCGGGTTCTTCTTCCGCAGGAGATCCCGAATCAACAGGACTAGCTCCAGCAGATTGGTACACACGAGTAACTCTCCCACCCTTGATATCTAGACTCATGATGGTCCTCTTCTTCTCCCATTCCGGACGGGCCTTTTCTTCCATCTCGCGCAGTATTTGCTGCTGCTTCTTCAAGGCGAGAGCCCGCTGCGCAGGACTCATCCACAGCGTCGACGCCACATTAGGAGTCTCGAAGTCCGCCGCCTCATCGACAACACGCGTCCGCTTGGCGTTCTGTGCCTGGAACTGAAGCAATTTATCCCGGTGAGCCATGGCAGCGTTCAATTTGCTGGAAGAGGCCGAAGGCGAGGGCCCTTGCCCCGGTCCGCCCTCGCGGTGTACGCTCTCGTTATGCGCGCGCATCTTCTCCTGGCCTCGCTCTGCCCGCAATTCCCGGATCATGCTCTGCACTTCCTCATTCGATAGCAGGGGTGTACCGCAGAACGAACACGGCTGGAGGCCTTCTAGGGAGCAGATGATCTTGCCACAGTTGAGACAGTTCGGGGCGGGGGCGAAAAGCGGGTGGATGGCAGCGAAGCAGGAGCATTTCCGGGATTCGTTGCTCAGGGTTGGGTTCGTGGATACTTCTAGTGCGGCGATTGCGGCGGTTAGATCGGAGATGTTGGTCGTGGTTAAGGAGTTCTTAGACTGGCTCGTAGTAGTGTTATTACTGTGTCGTGTAGCAGAGGACTTCGCGGCCTTGGATTTAACGTTCGGTAACAAGTCCGAGAGCATAGGCCCCGAGGCAGAGGGCGGCGGTTTGCTCGAGCTTTGTTTCGGGGCAGGTGAATGAGCCCGCGACGAAGCAGCGGACGAATCTTCGACCGATAGATGCGACGACCGTGAAGCGCCGGTATCTTGTTTGGCTCTAGGCGCCGGCGCCATGTAATCTTCCTCTAGATCTGCCTTTTTGTATCCGCCTGTGACATCTCCGAAGTTATCGGGCCGACGCGGGGGCCCGGCGCTGTGTAGCGGTGGTTTCGACTTCTTGCCCTTCTTTTGCCCCGCTGCTGGATTCCTGGAGCTTGTTGCTGTAGGTGTGGATGAGGACGCATCGGAGGCTGCTGGTCGTTGAGGTGTCGGGTCGCGTCGCGAACTGAACGCAGATATGAATTCGAAGGCAGCGGGGGAGTCACCTAAGAGGTTTTTGAGATGATCGGCACCCTCCTCTTTCGGTAGACTGGCGGCGTAGGTGATGATCTGCGTGAGTGATTCTTCGTCTAGTGGGAGTATTTGCGAGATGCGGGAAACGCCCCAGGAGATGAGGCTGGGGTCGGCCATGGTTGGGAATAGGAATTAGAATGACGGATTTGAAGAGTATATGTAGGAAGAGGGAGGATGGTGGATACGGCCCTCTTTGGGGGTACTTCGATGTAGCTGGTGGGGAGTGGAGGAGCTATGGAGTCATGGTGTGGATAGGGATAGTCGCCTGAAATATCAGGCAAGCTATATACTTAGGAGCGGATCAATATTCTGATTCATCTGGGACGCGATAGTTGTGGCAGTCTCTCTTATGTATGTTTCTAAGATAGAAAACTAAACCCCAGGAAAGATAGCCATATCCATTGAGATAATGCCAAACCCTCGTACTGACTATCAACCTTAACCTATTGTACATATACACCGGCATGATCATCTATCCCTGAAACAAAAGAGGATGAAAGCAAAGGAACGGTGCTGATTCAGTCAAACCATGACAAATGAAAGAACTGAAGAGAAGTAATATAATGTCGAGAGGTCCCAGACTTTTCGACAAATAAGAGTAAGTCCTGTTGACGCCTTTGATGCCGAGTATTTACGTCAGATCGTTAAAAGGAGACTATGTCCAAAGCCTCGTCTCCAGTGCAGACACACCCGTATTGCCCGTGAGAAGTAATACAGAAGTACTGCAGAAGCTATAATTAAGGAAAGAAGAAAAAGAAACTATGCGTTGTCGCCATTCGGTTCGCTTTTTATATTGCCGTCACCAGCGGCTGCAGCGTCCGCGGCAGCCGCCATGTCAGGCGTCACACCATTCTTGAGTTTGCTACTGGGAGCCGGTGGAGGCTTTTTCCCTGACAGCTTCTTGGGAGCACCGAGTTTCTTTTTCTTCGTTATAGTTGGCGGGGTGTCGTCATCTAATGGACGTTTGGGCGGCGCAGAACTAGGAGTGCTGGTACCGTTTTCCATGGGCGTTTTATTTCGGTTGACTTGTCGGCCTGATAGACCGAGACATCGGTCCAAGTGTTGTGCCACTCGCGTTACAACAAAGTACCTTGGGCAATTTGGGCACTTGACCGTCGGAAATGATACTTTCTCTGGAGCCGCTTGCTTAAAGGAGCTATCCGGCGTTGTAGGCGGGCTTGACGCTGGCGTATTTGACGTATTTGTCTGTTTCTTCTTCTTAGGATTCAGTTTGTCTGTAGCGAACGGATTCCCATGAACGTCATGCCCTGGTTTGCTGATCATCGGTTGCTTCTGGCAATATTCTCGATATGGGTCCGGAGGGGGCCGGGCTCCGACCCCAGTCACAGGATAAAGTAGGCGTGGCAACCGACAGTCGGGACAGATTATTTCTTTGGTAGTATTAAGCGGGTTTCCCTTGAGATAAACCTTCCCATCTTCAAAGATGGCCCCATCCGTCTCAACACGGATGTCCTTGAGTTCTTCGAAATCTTCGCCCGGTTTTAACGCAGTGGGTTTGGCACCTGCTTCTTCTCGGCGCCTGCCAGCTTCTTCTTCAGCTTTTTGCCTGGCGATTGTGACAGCAGAACGCATTCGAGCGACCTTTTCATCCCGATGGACTTTTGACACTATGTCATGGATAATGTTATAGAACGTGTTGTTGAGAATGTCACATGTCTAGTTAATTCTGTCAGTTCCTTGGCCTTCAAGTTATTTGGCTTATCACTGTAGCCAGTGAGAAGACGGCACAACAAGTCCAATATAAGGAACATACCAGCTTCGCAATAGTTCCCGAAGGAAAGGAACTTTCCTGCTGTTCTGCTCCGTTCGATTCGCCCATTTTCAAGATGCCTATGTTGCAGATATGGAAAGTTAGAGACCGGACCGCAATCAAAACAGTATATGGATATAATGTATCGATATGTGGAATTGTTGAGTGAAGCACGAAGGTTTGATGGTAGGGATCTAGAGAGCCGAGCGCCATAGGACACAGCTTCTAAAGCACTCTTTCGTTGGAGAATCACAGTGGGATACATGTAATACGGCTTAAGTATGATGCCAGTGTTTACTTCCAGTGATAGAGTTGGAGCAATAGGCGTAGATTGCTGGCTTTGTGGAACGCACCTCACTTTGCGAACTAACCCTAGTTCGCAAGACAATTGTTCAAGGAGGTCGCGTAGCAGTTCTGATCTCTCTTGGACTTATTAGAACAGCTCCATGTACTGTTAAGTATTATATGACGACGAATATCAGCTCGCGGCAAGGCGATCGCGCAGAGGCAAAAGAAAGTTGAGGTCGCAAGACAGTCCTTCTTGGCCCGGATTGAACGGAGTATACGAGGAGCGTCACAGCAGGATCAATCGAATTATAGCGATCAGAATAATAGCGCAGAGAGGAAGCGGCTAATAGGATCCATCTGCCAGTCGATAGTATATAGGTTTCTCAGCCTGGGGCGGGTAACACTCCACGGTAGGGAGAGTCAGTGAATGACCAACACAGCTCACAAGGAGGACCCACTTACCTGCTTCACATTAGACAGGTGGTATATATATAATAACAGAGGAACGATATAGAAAGTTTGGTATATCGATAGCATGCGACAGAACTCCGCAGTCTAGTCCAAGGTATCCTTGGTGTGTAGTGGAGAGGACAAGAGGCTTCTGCGCTGGCCTTTCACTTGCCTTCTCCGACCGGCCCATCTTATCTTATCTCATCTCCGCGTTCCTCTTCGCTGTTTTCGTCCATCAAGCGGACCGTACAACTTTCCCCTCTTTAACTGCAACGCCAGGTAGATTTCTTTTTATGATTCACAGAAGTGGTCAACGTGCTGAAAGAACTGAGCATTTCACAGCATAGCGCGTACCTGCACACCCCTTCATTTACCATGGCATACCAGTTCTTCGCAAAGGCGCATCAGTCGAAAGCGCCGACTTCTCCACCACTCTCCCCTCCATCTTCCTCTTCCTCCAGCAACAGACACCCCAAACCTCCTATACACCCTCCATCGCTGGTTCTCCCTCATTCTGCGGCCTCTACCAGCATCGCAGAAAGGGTCAAACCACCAACAGGCAAAGACTCGTCTTTCCATCCCCCCGCATACCCCCATCCCATCGCACCCACTTACAAAACCCCGCACCCTCATGTTACCATCGAATCTGTGAGCACCGCTCACATACCCTCTCTAATCCGGATCACGGGCTTGCTTCTCCCAATACGCTACCCAAATTCCTTCTACACAGCGACTATCACAGACCCCGTGATCGCGTCGGTGTCACGCGTGGCCGTTTATCATGATCACCCGGGAGCCGCGGCGCCAGCCTCCACATCATACGCTCCCACATCCGCATCCCCACTAGGAACAAGCACGGGGACAGACAAAGTGATCGGAGGAATCAGGTGTCGCTTAGAGCGACTCCCTCCCACCACTGCAGAACTTCTCCAAACCCAGTCGAAGCCCGGTTCGCAGGAGCCGACAAATCTCTACATCCAGACCCTGCATCTGCTTTCCCCATATCGGGGCTGCGGTATTGCGGCGTCGCTTCTTAACTCATTGCTCTTCTCTTCTGCCCCTTCATCTTCGTCTTTGTCTTCTGGCTCGCGGTCTACTTACCAAGTCTCGGAATTAGTGAAACACTACAACGTGCGCACTGTCACGGCACATGTGCATGAAGCCAATGAGGAAGGTCTGAAATGGTACATTGCGCGCGGCTTCCAGGTGGAGGAGGGCGTGGTTGAGAATTACTATCGGCGGTTGAAGCCGTCCGGGGCAAGGATTGTCAAGCTCGTTCTGCAGTGGAATGACGATGTCAGTGACGAGGCTGCGGAGGTTGATGTTCCCCCTGCATCTAGCCAGTCGGGGGAAGATAACCGGAAGAGCCCGGAAGAGGATGACGACTGGGAAAAGGTCGAAGCGGAAGATGGAGAAGACAATGAGGATCACGGCGTACAACCGTTCACAGGCTCTAAGATCCTTGAGGTTGATGATGGTGTGAACAGGAAACGGAAGGCCGACGACGAGCCTCAGCGAGCATGATCTTACCTTCCACTTTTTTATTTGCGGTGTTGAATGGAGTTCGCTTGTCTATTTGTTATTCTCTCTGCTCACCTATTTAGGATACCCTTCAACTGCTGCGTCTAAGAGATGTACAGATCTTTCGTTCAGGTTGTTTGTCTGCTTAGAACTGTATACATTGCATATTTATCGTTCTTAGAATTGATTATCAAGAGACATAGAGTCGTGATTAGAGACAGAACAAGTATATTTAAATATGCTTTATATTCAATGACATTCATATGCATTTATGTTCAAGGGTATAGAACTGTACAAGTTGGGAGTTGCTCCCAAATCACAAACAATCATTAGGGCATTGATAATGGAGGGAGGGAATCTACAATCACAAAACAACTCAGACATACATAACGCGAATGCAACCCGGGAATCAGACATTGTAGTTTTCAGCATGCAGGAATATCTCGTCTTTAGACGAGTCAGTCATGACCTGCTGCTGAAGCTGAGCAACGGTGCTCGAAACTTCAACTCTCATACTAGGAGGCCCACAGACAAAGATGCAGGTACGACGACCGAACGTCCGAGAGTATTCTTTGAGTACTTGCGGGATATTGGGGCGGGCGTAGTCAATACGCCAGCCATTCCTCTGCAGCGGAACGGTGCCGACGCGGGTAGTCAGTTTGGGAAACGTTGTTGACGAGGGAGGAAAGCCGAAATTAAACGGAGTATCTGCTGGACTCAGTTGAGGTGCAGGATATGGTGCATGTTGATAGTTGTTATCCATTGAGTTGTTGTAGTGTCTGCTGGTGTTGATGTGCGGGAGGGTGTGTGCCTGGGGAAGCGCAGTTATGGCATCTTCATTCTCGCGTCGAAGCTCCTTTTCAATCTCCGGGTCCCCCGCTGCTTCTTCACGGATGTATGCCGAGTTTCGCTTATCCATTCCCTCTAGTGTGCTGTACATTTTATCTCTGAGCATCTCCTGGTAGAACTGGTTTTGGGCCAGTTGGGCCTGACCGTGTGGCTCTAGTCCAGTGAGGAAGAAATGACAGTGAACTGTGCTTGGAGGTGCGAAATCCCTGCATATTCTCAGTTCCTCTCTGAACCAGTCGATTGTTTCGGGGTTCCTGAATGCCCAGATGACCCGCACCGACTTAGTTACTGCTTTTCGGTCCCGCATCTTCTTAATCAGATTCAAGAGGTGACTGGCAGTTGCAGTTATGCCACTTCCACCGGCGAAGAAGACCACATCATCAAAAGCAGCCATGTCTCTTTTCATCCCTCCGTAGGGGCCCTCCAAGAATGCTGTCCAGGTCTTGTAAGGGCCATACTCGAAAGTCTTTAGAAAAACATTACGAGTAAACCCTCCAAAGGGACGGAAGACAAGAGCCAAGTCACGATAATTCTCGCCATACTCTGAGGGGAAATCGCCACTACACAAAGATGAGATCGTAAAGGGGTGACGTTCAAAAAGTGAGATGCCCGGCATACGGAGATAGACAAATTGGCCTGGTTTCCATTTCATCTGAGTCGCAACCGTGACTTTGATAGCGTTCTGTGGGAGTATAGTCACTGCGCATTCTTCACCGATCAAGAAGGACAACCGTAGGGGGTTGCTCCAGTTGACATAGAACAATCTAACTGCGTAGGAAAGTATCCAGATTGCAACCGTAGCCCAAAGATAGTCCCATGATGCCAGGAAGTTTTTGCTGTGCCAAAATATCATGGCGAGAAAGATGACTGAAAGGGGAAGGTGCAGAAGCTTGAAAAGCTCATACATCCAGGCTCGGAGTATTGGCAGCGAATGCAAGCAGAGGACTATGAGAGGCGCCAGCGCCGCCCAGCCGGTGCCGTAGATATAGATATTTCGGGGAAGGTATTGCTGGTAGTATATAAAATTCTTGCTTTCCCAGATAGGTGTAACATAAAACGGAACCATATGGATCAAGCTTAGGAATAGACAGAGGTAACCCGCCCAACGATGAAGAACATTCAGCCTCTCGTGACTAACGCCAGTTAAAATGCTGATGAAGTTGGCACGGGTGCTGAGAGCAATGATCCATGGAATCATAGCCACCGCAATCATTCCTGCACGAACCGCCAGCGGAGGAGATCCAATTGAAATTGAGGAGTAGTAGAGCGGCTGTGGGACAAAAGAATAGAGAGTGACGAATATCAGGGCTGCAAAGATAATCGAGGATGCTCCCAGCGATGGGAAACCGACCCGTAGTTTGCCTATACGTAGCACAGGAATAGGCCTATAGAAAATCCATCGTACGAAAGCAATAGTGTTGTTTAGTGGCGCAATGGTGGAAATCGACGATTGCTGTTTCGTGGTATCGGTACTGGGCAGGGGGCCACGAGCTGGAAAGAAGTGCGCAGTGGAGCTGTCAGTAGCAGCACTTGGCAACTCATATTCTTCCTGGGGAGAAGTGAGATATGGCGATGTTCCAGTCGTATCCTCTTTGTGCAATGCGATCCTAATTTTGTCACCCCAAAGGTGATAGAACCGTATAATCGTTGAGATTGCGAGGAGAATCACAGAGAAATAAACCCAGCCAAGTCCATATTTTCCAGCTTGAGGCCAGGCATCTCGTTGCATCTCAGCAATTTCTGCTGGCGTTGTGGACGCAACAATGGGGATATCGATCCGCTTCACAAGGGAAGCCATTGAATGCCATCCTGGCAGCATAGTGCTTTGCCTCTCTGTAATATTGCTGGCAGTCACTCCCTACTTGAAAGTATCGAAGCAGCACCTGGTGTGATACAGAGGGCTGTAAGAGGTCAAGTCCGATTTACCGTACTATGTCCTTCCGGCTCACCTCCCCTCTTCCTCTTTGAACTGGTGTATAAAATATGGCAAAACACTGGAAAGCATTCAACGCGGCATCTGTTGGTTTGGGGTTTAACGCAACATACAGTTACCGGCTGTGAATGTAAGCTGTGTGGAAAACTGGAGATGATCGACGTGGGAGGGGATGGTCTAGATAGAGGACAGAGAGGGAGAGGAGATCAGAAGGAACACCGATCATGTCTAGTAGTAAACCTTACCAACATGTTGCCGGCAACCGATTTTTTCCCGGGCTCACTGCATTCGTTCGTCAGTTATTGGATCCTGCATCAGCATGCGGGGGTAATGCCATGAACGTTGCAGCCGATCGTTGAGCTGATTCCGACCATTAGGCAGGGTGGATAGAGGTGAAAGTACATTCGGCATGGTTGCCCTAGTTCTTAGCATAAAGTTCATCACAATTCCCGACCAATGATAGTCCCTGAAAAGGGTGCCATTCTGCACTGTGTTTTTACGCTAATGCAAGAATTTTGCTTCTCGTCACTTACAACAACCCATCAACACTGCTGATTGGATGGGAGCCCTTAGGGCCGGCGGTAAAGCAGGCGCTGTCACTCGATAAGAGAGCATCACGCTTTGCTCAACTTCGCCGATAGCTTCGTCGACATCTACTTGGCTTAGGAGCAGTTTCCCACTGCTTCCCAAGTCGTTTTCCAATATGCACAGGAAACGCGGAATTAGGGCTTGTACTCAACCGACTTTCCTAGACAGCTGCTGATTGTTAATCACTGTATCATAGACAAGTAAATGTAGGAGATGGTGAATCTGGGTATGTGATTCCCTAGAGTACATATTCTGTGGTTGATAGAAGTGCATCGCATTTATCGCATTTATCACAGAGGCTGGATACATTCAATATCGAGGTGTCCCCGTTGCCAACGAATACCGCAGTCCCAACACCATTCCTGCTGGCACAAGACACCTGTCAGAAGAAATATCAGCAATCCTGCTATCGGGATGTCTTGATTCCATGGGCGATACACGTACATGTCATATGTTTGCACCCTCCTGATCTTTCTGTGGCCACATTACAACCAGGGCAAAGCCTTGCTGTCTCAGCAATTGTCCGCATACTCATGGCCACTTGGGTGGACCAATCCTCTGGATCATGCCTCAGCGCATGAATTCCAGGAGGCATTTGATAGCTTGTCTGGAACTCACTACGTGCCTCGAGATCGTCACTTCTATGGCGAATGTACTCTTCATACTCCGAGCATGTCAAACCGTCATGCCAGACACTATGCCGATGTATGAAGCACGTCCTAGTCCCACACGAACCGCAAACGACAATTGGATCTTCTAAGCCACCGGCATGTAACTGCCCATATCCGCAATCTTGTCTGACACAAGTGACAAACTCAGCATCCTCTTCTAGCATTTGCCGCGTTCGCAAGTGGTTATAGGCTTCGAATGTCTCTTTGCTAGCCCACCGCTGGACTTCGTCGTCCGACAGTTGCTCGTGGCAGAGTGGGCATGTCAGAGGGCCCAAATTCGAGGAAAAGAGCTGTATTTCCAAACTCCGTTGAAGACAGTTGTTGCATATGTGCATCTCCGGCACCGTTGAGTGGTCGCAGCCAGCTGCGATCGGTGATTCTGGATACGAATCATGCTTGAGGTACCTAAAGCACACAGTGCAATTCAGACGGACTTGATCTGGGGTGCTTCCACCACTTCTAGAGGTATTGCTCGAAGGAGCTTGGACCGGCTCCTTACGGAGCAAAGAAAGAACCGCATCGGCCGTTACCGCATCGCTCCAGCAATATTCAGTCTCACCAGGCCATATTATCTTGGACCTGGCCATCCCCGTATCATAGTCATCCCCCGGCGAATTATTTCCATTGTTCCTAGACACTGAGCCGCGATTTTGATAGTGATTGTAACATTGTCCAAGTGGAGGGTAGTGTGAGGATGATGGAGTTCCTTCGTCGGATATACCTGTTGCAGAAGGGGCGTTCATATTTCCCTGTGAGAGTATCGTGAAACCTTCAGTTACCTTCGTGCATAATTGTCCTCATAGTTTTGACACCAGTCATAGAATATAGGTATTGAAGACCCGCAGCAAATCTCAACTATAGTGACATGTCCCTCAAAACGCAAGGGTATACCAAAATCGAACTTGCTTTGCTGAGTGAACACACTCGGGATGTTGTCCATATCGCAATCTAAACGTCTGTTGAATAATAATCTTTGGTGAGGTTGACCAAAACCTTTCAACGAGCCAAGGAAATGCCGATATCCGCTGAATACGAGATCCAGATACCCAGAATAGGTCATTCTCTTCAGGCCTGCAGCACAGTTCTACACTTATTGATGGATAAACCATAAAACTTATCCGAGATATGCGGACTGAGGCTGCCCAGCTCTCGCGGGCGAACCAGATCTGGAAATAATATGCAAGATGCACCACTTGTGTTGGCGTTATACGTCCGAGAATAGACACAAAAACATTCCGATCAACGCAAGACACGATCCTGAAAAATGCCTACTTGAGACCATGAACCTTATTGTCCTTGCTTGGCTCGTGACAGATGATGCAATCACGAACAGAGTGGCTCGACGACTGTCATTCACCAGTGAGAAGCCTCCAAACCGAGTACCGCCGTAAGGCATGCCATAGTGCAGCATACGTGACATCGTGTTGCTTTTCCAAATTTGGCTTCTGCCCTCTTTGCTCGGACCAGATCAGGACTCCCGTTCGGAAACTAACGCGATCGACGGTGTCTCGTATTTATATATAGATCAAGCGACGATCCCATAAACACACACCTGAAACTTTTGATTGGGCTGGCTATATACAAACGATCTAACATCAAGTCGTCTCTCATCGCGGGTAGAGCTTCATGCTTTTGGGAAGTGCAGGGGTGCTTCTTTTGCAACCCGGATCTGAAAAAGGCTTGGGAGCTTCTTTCATCCGGTTCCTAATTAGTATAACGCAATAGACCAATGTCTATTGGCGGAAAGGGAAAACCCCTCATAGACTGCGCAGAAATGGCATATATCCAACTAAATGAGATAGTAGACTACGCTAGTAGTACAAGTAGTAGCGTGGATGCGAGTGTTGTTGGTGGTTGAATACTCCGCAGGGTCATTGGCTTGCGTAGCATTCACCGCCTATAATATCGAAACTATTCTGCCGCCGAAAAATAAGTTGCAGCTTCTTTCCAACGACCAACAAGAGCGACTAGATTGGGAAGTCTAACTATTCCCCGCATTCTACAATCTTCCCTATCAGCTGGTCAAATTCGCCTGTGGATTATTTCCATTTGAGAATGGCTCCAGCCGCAGCTACAGCTGCGCAACCGACTCCTCCGTCTCTTTCTCTGCCCCCCTCTCAGTTCGCGCGCCTTCAACCTCACGCTTACCTTCTTGCCCACTTATCACCTCCCCCATCGAGCAATCAGCCATCTATCCGAGCCAATGGCCGTGCCCCTTCACAGTTCCGTGTTACTTCTGCCAATACGGGCTCTTTGACTCATACGAATGGCAGTGCCGTAGTGAGACTCGGCGATACCACGGCCGTATGTGGTGTTCGTGCGGAAATCCTACACACAGAAGACATTGCATCGTGGAGCGTATCCCGACCACCACCACCAGCATCATCGACTTCAGCAAACAAGCGCCGCAAACTGACGGATTCTACGGCCAAGCCGAGCGAAAAGCCCGACGACAATGACGAAGAAGACGCCGATGAATCGCACATTCGAGACTTCAACCTTCTAGTGCCTAACCTCTCACTGAGCACCGGATGTGCGCCAGGTTTTATCCCGGGCGCACCTCCCTCGGCATTGGCACAGTCATTGTCCCACCAAATTCTTACATTGTTGCACAGCACACGACTAATTCGTGCGGAGGACCTACGAATTTGGTATCAGCCGCCGAATCTAGGGCCTGAGGAACTTGAACGTCATAATGAAAGTGAACAGATGGATGTAGATGCGCTCCAAGGGGAAGCGGATGCTGAGAAAAACAGGGAGATCAAGGCTTTCTGGGTGCTTTATATTGATGTTATGATTGTTTCGCTGGCTGGTAACCCCTTTGATGCTGCCTGGGCGGCTGTCCTTGCCGCGCTTCGGGATACTAAGCTGCCCCGGGCGTGGTGGGATGTTGATAACGAAATGGTGGTGTGCTCGGATGCTGTCTCGGAGGCGCGCAAGCTGTCTTTACAGGGGTTGCCTATCTCGAGCTCATTCGGTGTTTTCGAGGCTGATGCGGCTTCTGGGTGGAGAGCAGAGGTCATTCCAGATGCTGAAGAGGAGAGGGAGCTTGATGACAGCTCTAGGAAGGGTAACCAACGGAGGTGGATCCTGGCCGATCCTGATGGTTACGAGGAGGGGCTGAGCCAGGAGAGAGTCTGTGTCGTAGTTGACAAAGAGCAGGGCGGAAAAGGGAAGACCGTTGTGGTGAAACTGGAAAAGAATGGCGGATGGGCTGTGGACGCCAAAGAGCTGAAGGCTCTAGTAGACATATCCGCGCAAAGATGGGAGGATTTAAAACAAGTTCTTGAACAGTGCTAGAACTATCGCGTGATTGAAATAAACAGTGAAGGTTACGGTTAATGATACCAATTGAAAATATTTGTCTTTGTTCATGCTTCTCTTCATGATTACAGCCACCGACCTAGCTAGGCAAGTGAACAAGACCTCGCCAAACTTGGTAGATCTAGTTGTATGTTCACTGCGAGACTAAAAATACATTGATATTCGTTTGATACTCATTTAGCGGGCGAGGAAGTTCCGCCGGCTTTCCTGGGACTCCTTCGGCGTCGTTTCGCAGGAGGCTCATCCTCTCGCTCTGTTTTGCCAACAAAGGACCAATTCTCGTCATCAACAGTTGATTTAACATCCTCGGTCGGGCTTTTTGCTTGATTAGACTCATCAGCCCTAGCCTTGTGGGGAATGTACAACGAGATCGTGAACAGTTCCATGTCCTTTTTATTAGCTCCTTTTGAGGACTTCTTTGGTTCGTCGGGGTGGTCACCCTTAGCCTCGGCTGAGCTTTTCTTCTCATCAGGGTTTTTAGAAGACGCTTCTGATTTCCTTCCTTTGTTGATATCTCCTGACAGGATGCGGCGGAAGAAACCGGCGTTCGCAGCAGGAGTGTCCTCCGGCTTCTTGTCTTGCTTTTCTTCGGCATCGTCCTCTTCCTCTTCAGCGTCAGAGTATTCCCGCATCTCTTCGAGGTCGCCTTTGACAAGAGCAGTTCCCCACAAGGAAATCAAGACTCCCGGCACCAGGTAGAGAAGAGCAGGTTGGGGGTGGTCAAAGCATTGCATAATAATGAGCGTTACTAGTGTACCAACGATGTAGCCTACCATGCTGGCTTTAAAGTATGTCTTCGGGAAGGCCTGGGCATCGTGATAAGGGGGCTCAAGGGCTGATTGAGAGGGAGCGGTTGATGATACCCAGAAGCGCTCTCCCCATCCACCGGTTGCAGATTGGTACACGGGCTTAACAATCTCTTGTGTCTTGCCTTCTGCTTGAGCTTTCTGTAGGCCCTTTTTCTTGTAATAGAGATAGAGATCAAAGCGCAGCGCCAACCCAATCATCATACCCGGAACAATGATGTCGCCCAATCCAATCATGGCCAAAGAGATGGCGTCTGGGGGAGCGTCGGGTGCTGCCGGGCGAGGGAAGACGAGTTTGATTGGGACATCCAGACCCTTTGCAACAGTTACCATCAATGGGGTGAAGTAAACGAAGTAGATATCGTAGAAAAATAACGAGCTCAGAATGAGTGATCCGGTGAGAAAACTAGATGGCGACATGAATTGCAGAGTGCCGTAGCAGAAGCTGAACCCCAGAAAATTTGTTAACCACCAAGGCTTCGTAACAAAAGTGAAATAGCCAATCGCAGGCAAAGCCAGGCCCAAGCTGAAGAGATCCAGAAGGCCAACTGAGCATTCAGTTTTTATAAGGCGACGCAGAAGGACCCTAAGCTTGGCACGTTGGTATAACAAGTTACGACAGGTCCAAAGAAGGTCGAGAACTGGCCCTGGTAATTGTATAGAGCTAAGGATGCCTGGAAGTGGAGAGTTCCGTGCTTCCAGAGATTCTGATGTAGTTGAACCTTCTTGTACAACCGTGAAAACACGGTCTGATTGCTTGACCTTCCATGTTTTGCCAGCTCTGCTATATCTCCGTGGAAATACAAAGGATCTGAGCACTGCAAGACTGTCTTTCACGAAAGCTGTGGCAAAGAAGAGGCCCATCTGAGAAAAATAGAAACCCAGTATCTTATTCAATTTATCAGCTCCCATCCATTTCATCACAAGGTACAAGCCCCCAAGTGTGAGACCAGCAGTCAAAGGAAAAATTAGAGCATCACTGGGCGCAAGGCCTTCAACTCTCCGATCGTCGTTCTTTTCTTCCTCATCTTCGTCTTCATCGTCTGATTCATCACCGTCGGCATCTTGGGATTTTTTGGGCGGTTCGGCTGCGGAAGACGGTCGCGAGAGTGAGGCGTGAGAAGCAATGTAGATAGGGAATAAAACTGAAACGAGCAGATGCCCGTATGTAGGCAAAAGAGGCTTCACGGCTGTGAACTGGTAGATCGCCTGACCCAAGAGCTCGGCGAATGGGCTAACTTCCGCCATATCGACTTTTGAGGAGCTAATCGCAAAGTGTACGGTAGAATGCGATTCGGAGCTCTCGTAGCGTTGATCCAGGTTAGTAGGGTGTGCTATCCAGTGACGTGTTTATCAATCCATGGCTGAAGGTTGTGTTTACTGAGGAAAGAACAGAGACAACAGATTGTATCACATGGATCTCTGCAGCTCACTCATGCCAAGCCGGAGACTTCACTCCCCCGCCCGCAGCTTGTGCGCATCTTTCATTCCCATCTTTGCAGCTACAGCTAATTCTCAATTACAAAACTTCAAATATGGCGACTGACGTGGCATTTGATACGAGCATGGTAATTAGAGCTGCCTTAACTACGAGCATCTTACATTTCGCTAAT